CACCTGGCATGCCTCCAGCACTCTGATACAGTTTGGTGATGATTGGGTTGCAGACCTTCTCCAGCTCCTTTTGCTGGTGCTCAAACTCGTCTTTCTCAGCAGTCTGGGGGCACATAGCAGCACATTAATTTCTGCTCATAGATTTCCTTTTCCTAGTTCACTTGCAGATGCTGATTTGTGTAAGCAAAACAAAGCTTTAAAAATGGTACCTGATTCTTGTCGAGCCAGCTGATAACTTCATTGCATTTGTCCAGAATCTTCTGCTTGTCCTCATCACTGATCTTGCCCTTCAGCTTCTCATCCTCGACGGTGGACTTCATGTTGAAGGCATAGGACTCCAGGCCGTTCTTAGCAGAAACCTTGTCGCGCTGAACGTCATCCTCCGCTTTGTACTTCTCAGCCTCCTGCACCATGCGCTCAATATCCTCCTTGCTGAGGCGACCTGTGGAGAAGAAAAAGCTCCTGACAATGGTACCCAAGGTGAAGGGACACAGAAACCCACCAATTAAGCTTTAAATAGCACTAAAGCATTTTGAACCTACCCTTGTCATTGGTGATGGTGATCTTGTTCTCCTTGCCGGTGCTCTTGTCAGCAGCAGAGACATTCATGATGCCGTTAGCATCAATGTCAAAGGTGACCTCAATCTGGGGAACACCACGGGGAGCAGGGGGAATTCCAGTCAGCTCAAACTTGCCCAGCAGGTTGTTATCTTTGGTCATGGCACGCTCACCCTCGTACACCTGAAAAAGATCAGCTTTGATTACAAATCTATATACAAAAGAATTACAATTTATTTTTAAGTTCTAATCGCTCAGACATCCAAGGAAGGTACTTGGGCCATCTTTGGTCTTTTAACCTCTGGTGGAAACTACGAATGGCAGGAATCAACTTCATCATAGCGACAGCCAGAACATCCACCATAAGGACTGTGTCTTTACCTGAATCAGCACACCAGGCTGGTTGTCGGAGTAGGTGGTGAAAGTCTGGGTCTGCTTGGTAGGAATGGTGGTGTTGCGCTTGATCAGAGCTGTCATGACTCCACCAGCTGTCTCAATTCCAAGAGACAGAGGGGTGACATCCAGCAGCAGCAGGTCCTGAACATTTTCAGACTTGTCACCAGAGAGGATGGCAGCCTGGACAGCTGAAATACAAAGAGACATACAATTTATTATAGCATCCTAAAGTAGACCAAACAAAAATATAAATTTGACCATCACTGTCGCTCAGACATCCAAGGAAGGTACTTGGGCCATCTTTGGTTTTTCAACCTCTGGTGGAAACTACGAATGGCAGGAATATACTTCATCATAGCGAACTTTATTTTGAGATATGAATATGCTGACAATAACATACCTGCTCCATAAGCCACAGCCTCATCAGGGTTGATGCTCTTGTTTAGTTCTTTGCCATTGAAGAAGTCTTGGAGGAGCTTCTGGATCTTGGGGATACGCGTAGAACCACCAACAAGGACGATGTCATGGATCTGAGCTTTGTCCATTTTAGCATCACGAAGCGATTTCTCCACTGGGTCCAAGGTGCCACGGAACAGATCAGCGTTGAGCTCCTCAAAGCGAGCCCTGGTGATTGAGGTGTAGAAATCAATTCCCTCATAAAGGGAGTCGATCTCAATGCTGGCCTGAGTGCTGGAGGACAGGGTACGCTTGGCCCGCTCGCAGGCAGTGCGCAGACGACGAACGGCTCTCTTGTTGTCGCTGATGTCCTTCTTGTGCTTGCGCTTGAATTCTGTAATGAAGTGGTTAACCATACGGTTGTCGAAGTCTTCACCACCCAAGTGAGTGTCACCTGCAGTGGATTTGACCTCAAAGATACCATCTTCAATGGTCAGGATGGACACGTCGAAGGTGCCACCACCAAGATCAAAGATGAGGACATTCCTCTCAGCACCAACCTAAATGAAGAGGAACTCTCATCAAAAACCAGGTAAACTAAAAAAGGCAGTATTAAAAATAAGCCATATCGCTCAGACATCCAAGGAAGGAACTTGGGCCATCTTTGGTTTTTCAACCTCTGGTGGAAACTACGAATGGCAGGAATCAACTTCATCATAGCGCAGAGTTTAAACAGTTACTCGTAATGAGGAAACTGCAAATAGACAGTGGTTTGCCATAGCCTTTTATACAAAAACCCTAACCAACCTTTTTGTCTAGACCATAGGCGATGGCAGCAGCAGTTGGCTCATTGATGATGCGCAGAACATTCAGGCCAGAGATGGTCCCTGCATCCTTAGTGGCCTGACGCTGAGAGTCATTGAAGTAGGCAGGCACTGTGATCACAGCATTTGTGACGATCTGGAAGACAAATTATAAATGTGGCTAGTGATTATTAAATTAAGTAAACACAGGAAATTCACTTGCTCAGCAACTTGTAGCCCACTTAATATCTGTAACCACTTAAGGCTGTTCCAATAAAAGGACAAACATTTGATCTACCTGCCAACCAACATCACAAGACGGTTACACTACCTTTCCAAGATAAGCCTCAGCAATTTCCTTCATTTTGGTGAGCACCATGGATGAAATCTCTTCAGGGTAGAACGACTTGGTCTCTCCTTTGTATTCAACCTGAACTTTGGGACGGCTGTTGTCATTGATTACTGTAAATGGCCAGTGCTTCATGTCGGACTGCACAATTCCATCATCAAACCTCCGGCCAATCAACCTTTTGGCATCTGTCAAAGGAACAAATCGCATTTAGAGCACAAAGATTTACATGCCTTAGACCTAGTTTTTTGTTCTTGGTTCGCTCAGACATCCAAGGAAGGAACTTGTGCCATCTCTGGTCTTTCAACCTCTGGTGGAAACTACGAATGGCAGGAATCAACTTCATCATAGCGAAACTATCCCTCAAACTGAATAATTCACTTCATTTGACTATTACTTTAATCAAATTACAGTAATCAATGCAGATTTACAACTAAAAAATGGTAAAGAACAGGCAATGAAGGACACACTAACCAAAGATGGTGTTGGTGGGGTTCATGGCAACCTGGTTTTTGGCTGCATCACCAATCAGCCTTTCGGTGTCTGTGAAAGCCACATAGCTTGGCGTTGTCCTGTTTCCTTGGTCATTGGCAATAATTTCAACTTTGCCATGCTGGAAGACTCCAACACAGGAGTAGGTGGTCCCCAGATCAATGCCAACGGCTGGTCCTTTAGACATTGTGCCTGTATTAGAAAAAGCAGAATAATTCAGAGATCTGTTTCTGTACTTCAATAAGCTGCATATTTGGATGCAGGTCTGATTAAATTTATGACCATTTAATTCTATAAACCCTACTACTATTTTAAGGACCCAATTAAAATGTAAGTTAACGGAAGTGAGGAACGACCACGTGGTCAGGGGCTTCTAGAAGATTCTGAAGCAGTTGCTACAGAGCTAGCCACCATGTTGGCTAATAAACACATTGTTAGGCAGCAAATACTTGGAAAGTCGCTCAAATTAAGTCAGAATTTTATTATCTAGAGATATGCAACCAATTTAAACACGATGGCGCAGCAGGTAAAATTAATATCAGCATCCCTCATTGTAAGTTATGGTACAATGGTTTATAAATGATACATAGTAACACTGCTACTCTACCTTACCATATGTGCTTATTTAGGATTAGTTAGTATTTAAAATAACGTGCAGAAATTAAAATCCAACCGCCAAACGTTAACTAGCTAACTAAGGTAGTTAGTGGCCTTGGCTAACGTTAACTGTCTAGCACGATGCTAACCGCCCGTCTCCACCTTTGTTGTACACCATCGAGACATCGAAACAAAGCTATTTAAGGAACATTTCACGGAAAAACCCCGTACTATCAGAGCCAACTCTGCTAATGTAGGATAACGTTACTACTTTGCTAGTAGGTTTTTTTCACAGAGACAGTCCATCCTAACGCCTCTTAGCCGGAACAATGAACATCATCGATCAAATCAGGTTTCCAAAAATAAACCACCTACAAATAAACTAAGCTTTATACAGGTTTATGGCGAAGCAGCTGGAGAGCGTTTTGCTCAATACTCACCTAGATTACTTTATCAGAGGCCGATGAAAGCTGGAATTGTCCTGAGGCGGTGCCTGCCTTACCTCGTTGCTGCAGTGAGAGCGGACGAATCTTCTAGAAAATGTATTTATATTGCCGGTATTCCAACCAATCACATTTGAGAAAACTCGCCTTCACGCCGTCAGCACCAATAAGATTCGAAGACGTCTTTACTCCCCGCCCTCTGAAGGAAGAAGCAAAGAGCTGATTGGTCCATAAATGGTGACGGCGCCCCACATCACTCTAAAACGGCTGATCCTGCATCAGCTTTTCCGATTACACACGTTCCAAAATGCAAACTGAAGGAAAACGAAACTGATCTCAGATCAGCAGGAGGAGCGATGAAAAGCGGCGAGACAGAAACGTCCAGAACTCACTGAAAGTTATTACATGGAATGGCTATGAATAACCATTTTATGTAATGATGCCTGAGACATCGTTTTATGATAGTTTTCGAGAAGGTTTTGGCCTGAAATATAATTTTAAACATCCATTCATGGCGGAAAAGTACATGGAGCATTTTGAAAAGCAAAATAACATCTAAAGCATCAAAAAGCAACAAAGTAGAAAAACATTGCTACTATCTGCATAACACATAAAAACCATATTTAGGTTCTCTGCTGGATAACAAATAAGATGTCTACATTTGCACTGTAGACATTACGACCCCAGTTTCTTATCATCAGCACTGTAAAGAGCCTGTGTGTTTCTGTGCAATGCACCATTTCTCATCAAATGATTTTGTTTCAGTTTGCAACGACTGAATGATGTCATTTTGCAATGTCTGTGAAATTCCCCTTTAATTCAAAATAAAAGCATAGATCAAGACAACTTAATATGTGGAAAAAAGAACATATTTATTGCCAACCATATAAAAATATACATGTACTATCAAAATATAAAAAAACAAACAAACAAACATACAAACATATGAAATGTGCAACCCAAAAACGTTATCAACATTTTTCAACATTTAAGCACCACCAACATCATTTTTAAATAAGAGTTTGGGATAAAACTCCCAAATCTTTTAAAGTTCAGTCTCTCTGATACAGGATCTTAGTACAGTGTTATTTGAACAATGTGGATTTTCGTTAGGCACTTCCACAGTACCAGGTGTCGTCCCCGCTTCACTCTGTGCTGCTTCCTCCACTTTGTACTTTGTGAAGCTGGTGTTCCAAATGCCTAAACAGACACAAAGAAAAGAGTTTGTTCAGAACGGTTTGCGGGAATAATTTGTCGTCTGTGATGTGACTGGTTTTAGCAGTGTGAAGGTTGTACCTTGTATTCTCTGTTGCTGGTTCTGTTTCTGCTTATCTTCATTGCTGGATTTTGATTTGCTGCTCTCCATGGACTGATCATTTTCTTCATTCTCTGTGGTTAGAAGAAAAATATTTAGTGCAAGTTCATCAACAAACAGCCATTCATAAATACAAGATAAACATTTGGGGCCAGCAGTTTCAGTCTGGAGGGATGAAGTCCGACACAGTTGGTGATTTCCATGCTCAAACCCACCTGATTGAAGTCACCAGTTAATTAGCAGGTTGAGCAAGAAATCCACCAAATTTAGCTAGACACAGGCCCCTTTGGTACTGGGATTGGTGACCCCTGGTGCATGATACATTATTTAGCTCTGGATTTTGCATTTGTTGTTGTAGTCTGACGCCTATTACCTTGTTTCCAGGCAACGTGTGCCCTCCTAAGACGGAGCAGGAAGAAAGCGAGCACCACTATCAGACCGAAGATGAGGCAAGTGACCAGAAGCACCAGCAGGGCTGAATTCCCCTTTTCTTTTTGCTTATGTTCACTTATGTCCTGTTTCTCATTCCCATCTCCTAAAAACACATGCATGGGTTATTGTCTTTTGAAACATGTCCCAGTAGAGCACACAGTTACACTGCATTAGTAATTAATTAATGCCTAGTCTAATGTTAAGGATCAAATAAGCTAATAAAGGACTTATAAGTTAGCTTATTTTACATTTAAGCGAGACCTAAATTAGAGACTGGTATGCTTCCTCACCTGAAATGCTGTTGGATGAGTCTGTGGTAGCATTCTGTGAAGAGCCCTCTGTTGTTTCAGATATTGATTCTGTGGTTTCGTTCACTGCTGTAAAACATTTAAAAGAGATTAAAAATGAGCATGCACTTCACACTGTGGATCAGAAACGTAAAACAGGAAACTCACTGCTAACATTATAGCAAATAAACTCTTTCGCTGTTTCTTAACAAAGAAAAAAACCCTGTTTTGTGTTAGCAGCTTCTTTATGTGGCTCTTACCCTTTGTGTTATTGTATGAAGTGGTGCTGACATCAGTCTTTTGTGCTTCTGTGGTTCCTGACTCTGAATTGCTGCTGCTGTATGCTGAAATAAAGATGATTCATTTGTAAAAATCGTGTTGAAGAGTGAAAGGAAAAGCAAAAAACCACTTGCAAATTTCAAATGTTTCTTGCTATAAGAGGTGTAAGGAGTTAGTTAGGGCCCTCAATGTACAAGGCTCCCCATTAATGTCTTTATTAATTAATAATTAATTATTTTTTTATCAGCCATTTTCATTGGCAGAAATAAGTTATGAATGTATCACTGATGACAATGTGTTTATTTGTTTATCATTTCATTTCGATAGACAGCTCAGCTGCTTAAATATTCTATTTCTGTTGTGTGTAATTGCTGTTTTACTGTGTTTACATTAGCGTTTATTGAACTTTATTAAACTTCTTATCAAAATTAATAAAGTAATAATTTATATTTTATGGAGCAGGGTTGCTTAGGGCCTCCAAATGTTCAGAAATGGCCCAACTTCAGGCCTATGAGGCTGGAAAGAGTACAGACCTCTATTACCCCCTGGAGCACATGCAATATGTAGAACCACCAGTAGGTGGGGCAAAAGGCAGTTAAAGTAAATACTTCTTCTGCTGTTTCACATCAGTACACACTAATTAGCGGATGTACATTTGACATTTTCATGTACAGGAATAAATATTTTGACTGACTATAAATACCAAATTTATTAAGTAAATTTAAACGGTTTTCAAAACACAATCACTTCAGTTTGTTCTGAAAAACCAATACTTACTTGTACTGCTGAAACTTGTACTGCTTAAACTTGTACTGCTGAAACGCGGGACAAGTGTTGGAGTGACTTTTTCTGTCGTAGTGCTTATATATTCTGGTGTGGGAGATGTTTCTTCATCTTCATCTGCCAAAACAGAATTGATACATTGGTGATGATTCATATTGCTACATTAACAAGATTAAGATTTAAATAGGGAATAATCCATTAGTTACAAGCTAGAGAAATGAGGAGAGCATTTGCTCTTTGATTAAACTTTCTTCAGCAATCGGAAAACACACATTGTTGTTTTGAAGAAGTCAATCTCCTCATGTGATTTATGGTGAAAGATAAAGGGGAAACTACCAGAGAGTCCACTCTGTGAACTGTGAGCTTTCTCTACACTCCCAAACCAACAAAATCCCCTTAGCAAATTTCATTTCCTGCTTACAAGAAAATGTCCATTTATGTTTTGTGCCATCCAGAGTGGACTCTCCTCTGTTGTTTTCAGAGAAGTGACATATATTCTCACCTTGATTTCCTATGTGGATGAAATCTATCAGGGGTGAGCCATGTAGAGTCGGATACTGGGCCAGGCATTTCACTGTAGCTCTTCTTTTATGAGTCTTCACATGCAGGAGACTAACTACAGTGTATTTATTAGATGTATTTAACACATAATTTGGTTGAGCTGTAAGCAAAAGAAGAGAAAAAAATCGTAATGTCTGGATTTATCTGGTTATGTGTGATGACAACAGTAAGAAGGTGTTGTTTATTTCAGTTTCAGTTTACTTCTATTTCAGCTTTTACTTGACATGTAAAGGTTCCTCATAACCCTTAAGAACATATACCAATATGCTTGTTGACCTTTTACATTAAACAAGAATAACTTTTTGAGAACTGATTCTTATTTACTTGGTCTAAAATATTTATTTGTCAGTCTGTCCCCTTTGTGCTCAGTATTAGCAGAGTATTGCTTCCTTACTGGTTGTCCTTGGCTGACCTTATCTCTGTTTCTGTATTTTGTGTCTGTTTTAGAGTGGGCGTTTAGTGCGGGTGGACTGACAGGGTGAATTTCAAATCTATTTATGTTGATGGACCAGGGAGATTTTGTTTGAGTGGACACAGGCAAGTAGGCCTACACTCTGAAAAATAAAGCTCCCTAAATAGTTCTCAGCTGTGACGAATATTGATTTAGGAAAAAAACTAGTTATAGTAATTATTAACTTTTATAAACTTTTCATTATATTGGTTTTATATTATTATAATACATATTCATCCAATCACACAATCCTCTTTAAACAACCATCACTGGAGCACCTTTTTTAGGGAACCAAAAGTAGCTCTTTTTCGGTTTTGTTCTAAGTAGCCCTCTTTTTTAGGAGTGTATTACCACCCAAACAAAATCCCCCTAGCCCATCCACCTGTCCCTCCAATCATTAATTCACCTATATATCTATCTGGGCCAAATTTCCCAAAGGAATCTTAGTATTAAGATCATCTAGTAGAGAGAGTGTTCACTGTGATGCTCACTCTACCACTGAAGAATCATCTTTGTGCTAAGATGTTTTTTGGGAACCATAATTTATTCATTCACTCATCTGTCATATTCATCTACCTCAGACTTAGTATCCAAACTCCTTCTAATAGTAATAATTTATCTACTTTCTACTGAATAAAAGTTTCTAAGTGATCATATGCTTACCTTCAATCTCTAGGCCGTTCTCCAGAAGCCATGAGAGTCTGGGTCGACAACCATTTGCTGTAGCTGAACATTTAATAATTGTTTTATCCTCATGTTCTGTCTTCTCCAGTACTGGTCCCCCTGAAATATTTTGAGTAAGGCGACTTATTAGGATTATGATTACCAACCGTAACATAAACTAGAAGGCTTAAACTTCAATCCTGGAGAGCCATTGAAATGTGTTACACCAAACACAATTATCATCAAAAGCAAGCAACATAGTTAACTAACATGGAAGTCATGTTCACATTAGAATCAAGTACATTTAGTGCACCCTTATAGTGCAGCTTAATGATTTCTCTCCTCAGGCATATAGCATTCAACTCATTTGGGACTTTATATTCAGCTGATGATATATGGCAAACACTATTAGGTAATGTGGCCTCTAGGACTAGAGTTTAAAATTGTTCAGCAGGATCAAGAATTGAGCAATTAAAAATAGAGGAAAAAGGTCCATACTTACTCAGAACTACAACTTTAAATCTTTTTGTCAGGACTTGATCACTGTAATGAAGACATTTATAAACTCCTTCATCTTTGAATGTGATGTCAGATATGCTCACTGAATATCGTGACTTGGTTAAGACAACAACCTCGTTCCTCATGTCTTTCAAGGCTGCAGATCAATGTGAGAGACAATGCATAAGTTAGTATCCATTGTATAACTTTTTTCAGCAAAATAGGTAGTGAGCAACAATTGTGTGGTTTACTACACAGGGTAGGCCTAGTCCAAAGCTAAAATGTCCTCATCAGAGAACACGCTTCTGTTAAATGTAACATATTTGGAAAAAATAAAATATGTATTTCATGTCTTAATGTTTCCCGATATGTTCAATTAAGCAAATAAACAGAACTTACATTCTAAAATGCAGAAAATGTCACATTTGAGTGTTTAAGTTTATTTACTGTAGAGGATTTGTTAACTTATTTTCACACAGATTATCAACAAAACAGGTAATTTGACATGTTTTCGACCAGGTGCACCCAAGCTAACATAATATACTAGATAATAATGGGCAAGCTTCCCATTGTCTTCTATTATAAATACATTTTAGTTGAGGTTTTCTGTTCTTTTCTAAGCAAAGGGAAATTATTGTCCATTGAAATCGGTCATATGCCAAACAGCAGATAAAGGTTAGATTGAGTAAGCTGGAATATAACTTCAATCTGTTTCCTTACTGATGAGTGTGCCATACTGAAAAATCTACTGTGTGCTGTCTTACCTCTGTGCTTGTTAAAAAACATGAGAAAGCCGTTTGGATTTCTCCATTCTACATGGTCAGTCCCGTTAATGTTTCTAATGGGACAGGTCAGAGTCAGCGTTCGTCCCTCCATCACTGTGATGTGCTTCACTGCCAAACACTGGGTTAGACCTGTAGCAACATAAACAGCATTTCTGCATGTTAGAATAGTGTAAAACAAAGGACTGATTTTCACTTAAGACTTCCAATGCCAGCATATAACACAGCCAAATTTCATTATAAGCTTGCAGTAACTTTACTTTGCACATAGAATGACCCCAAAATGATGACACTGTCTTTATCGGACTTTATGAGTTTAGCCACTGAGTGGGCTAAAAGTGTAAAGATCCCACTGATAAATGGAACATAGGGGGGCAGGTAAGGCCATGGTCTCCACTCACTCAACACTGACTCATAATGTTGCTCTCGACGTTATGGGGGGCTGCAGACAGGAAATAGAAGGCGCCTGTACAAGCAATGGTGAGAATGAGCTGAGAGTGGTCGATATATTTGTCTGTGGTTAGAATGGCGCAGGTAGGGAGGAACTTGCCACTGTGACACACAAACATATACTCTCTAACAGGAAACGGTGGCGTGGAGATTCACTTATCATATACTTATGAGAACATGCAAGAACACAGTGCAGCCTCTCCAGCCTACTGTAGGTGTTATTTTTGGCCTTGAGAACATGAAAGAATAAAACAAGGCCTCTATACCCTCCAACCTACTGTAAGTACATGTAAAAACACCTCTAACCTCTATCCTACTGGAGGAATCATTTTTCACGGTCATGAGAACGAGATAAAGTACAATGTTTCTGGACAATCTCAGAAAAACTGTACCTTTCATGGTACAAACACTGTCACTGGGGTGGTTCCCTCTAGGGTACAACTTCAGTACATTTAGGGAAACATACTTCATTGCAGTTATGAGTTCTAAGTTGCTTTTACTCCTTACTCCCTGCCACGACTCCAGACTCCAGACTCTACTTTAAAAAGGATGGAAGGTAACAATATGTTTTTCTGCTGGGAAACTGCATGTAGTGTACCTTCAAAACTCTTTTAAAGTACACAATTGGGCCTCAAGGACCATGTTGTCCCCTTGAGGGTGCATTCACATTGTTTGCAGCTTGACAAAAAAGTACCTGTGCAGTACCTTTTTGCATGCGGTGTAGTGAAAGTAAATGTACTCTTGTTAAAATATTACTTCAGCAAAAGTACAAAAGTACTCGTTGGTGAATGTACTTAAGTATTAAAAGTAGATGTTCCTCATACACATTCCATTGAAGAGACTACTGTAGAACTTGTTCATCAAAATAGTCATTCAAAAAAGTTGATACTTATGTACATTCACAAATAAGTAGAAATATGGTGAGAATACATGTACTTTTGCTCAATATGCAAAGGTCTCTGAACCCTCCAACGTACTGACAGAGTCATTTCGACAGTTGTGAGAACCTGTAGGAAACACTTTGAAATGTCTGTACCCACCAACCCACTGTGGGTGTCATTTGTAGTCATATGCTCAAAACAGAAGAGTGGGCACATAACGCCTCTGCTAAACATGCCTAAAATGGAGCTGTCCGTCTATTGGAAATATTTAATATAAAGAGCGTATCAGTATCGGCTTATAGGATATCAGTTCACAAATCTTTCTTATCTATTCCTGAACATCTCTTAGAAGACGACTTCATTTTTGTGGTTTCCGTTCAGTGTTACAGTGTAGTAAAAGACAGAAGAGATACATCACTAAAAACTGATATATAGCAAACTAGAATACTTTTCATTTTGACTATGTACATACATTACTCAGTCGCAGCACAGTGTATATGCTTACAGCTTAAATAAACCATTCAAATGTATCGCTAGACCATTCAAATGTATCTCCAGTCTAGACATGATAACTTGACTTTTGCAATACCTAGAGCTCAGAATTAGATGTGAAAATTAAGACACTTTAAGAAACCATTAAATAACAATGTAATTACTACATCTGCAATCATACAGCACTGTGTTTCTAACCGCATCTTTCTGGATCTTCTATTTGACTGTTAAAATGGTTAGAAGTTAAAGACTATAAGTTTAGTCATCAGTATGTCAACATTTTTCACATTTTCAACACATTTGCTCTTAATTGACTGAATCAGAATTGTACAAAACATGCTCTGTAGAATAAAAATATATTACATTCTTTTACTTACCTATTACCAACAGCAGAGCATGAGCACATAGCCTTTGTTTATTCTCCATTCTGCAAGGCTTGAAGACTGAAACTGACTTCCTCTCTCACTACTCTTATACACACAGACACTTCCATGACATCACCGAAATGTCATGGTCTTTCCCACTCTGCATTGTATCTCTGTGCTTTAAGGGGCATTTTGGACGGGCACTAGTTCTCTTTTTTTTTTTTAGCCTACTGACCAGGCGATGACGCAAAATGACGCAATCCAAGATCAGCGTGAGAATTTAAGGCTGTCTATTAATAACTTGTCTTACTTTCTCATTACCTATTGGTTAGAGTTCTTGGGTTAAGACATATTGCCCAAATGTTTGTTTTTGGTATAAAACTTTCTTTTTGTTAATGTAATAGAAAACAACAAAACGGCCTTTTCTGACTTCATTGTATTTCTGAAGTCACAAAACCAACACTTTACATATAACTGCTATCGGAGCAAAACCTTTTATCTCCAATATGGTAACTTTTCAGGAGGAGAAAGTCATGCTTAACTTCAGATGTAATTTTTGATGTAATTTTGGACCATTCTTATCAGGCCACCATGAAATGTTCACACAAACAGCAGTCAATATTTTGAAATGATGCAAAAAAAAAGTTCAGCAGTTGGGAAGTAGCAAAGCTATTACTTTAATTATATTTTCCAGTAGTGTGGTGGTAATGTCAGAGCCTATTTAAGGGAAGCCTGGCCATTTCTTATTTCTCCCATTATATAAACAACGACTGCAAAACGCTAGAGGGCACCCGTGAGCAAGTCTGCAGTGAACAAAGGATGAATGGAGCTAAATGGCAAGAAATGCAAAAATTAAACATGTAGTCATTCTAGCCATTTATATGGAAACGTCCTTTAATCTTGGAAAGTAGAAGGCTGTATTAGATGACATGGTGATTTTTTTTTTAAAGGCATGGCCACAAATGAATATATTAAGGCCACAATGTAATTTATGGAAGCCACAAATGAATATATTGACCCCACGAGTTAAGTTAAAAACTAATTACCAGAATCTTTCTGTTTTTCTACAAAAAAACAGGTTTTGGGCCATAAGATCCCAGCACAAGTTAGCGTTCGCTTACGTCTAGAGTTCAAAAGATAAAATAAATATATGTACTCTGTGTCATTTGGTTGGAATTGACCCTTCACCAACCCCCCCAGGTGTCTAACAAGTTTTTGAGTCCAGGTTTCAACCATATTGTTTCAAAGGCAACGGTAGATGATTTATCCAGTGAAATTATTTTGGAGCAATGCATGTTTCATAAGAGAACTTGTAGAGAGCAGAATAATCACTCTGTAACAGCCGGGTTTCTCAAACACTAGAGGGCGCTACTGAGTGAGTCCAAAATAAATACGTTAAGATGGAACATTTGAGTTAGATCAAAAATAAAATAAAATAAAAGAATACATTCATTTCCTGAATAAAGAACAGCATAAAACATTTTAACACCGCTGTTATATTTTTAAGAGCCTTTGAACTCGAGTTACAGGAGTGTAAAACGGCGCCCCATGTGCGTTCATGCGTTAGAAAATGCGAACAACTAATGAGCAGCTTCGCTTGCCAACCAATCAGCACTCAGTAGAAATAATGCTAGCGCCCTGCTGCCCAAAACCTGTTTGCTGCAGAAAAAAGGAAACATACAGGTAAGTTTTCTTTGCTTTTTTAGTGAAGTACATCCTTTTTATTTTCAGAAATTAACGGAAAGTTCTGGACAAGTAATTAGAAACTATTTTAACTTTTTGTTTTTAGCTATTTTGCTCCTTTCACCCATATTCATTCAGGACTCACTCACAGGCGCCCTCTGCCATTTTACTGTCCTGTTTCTAATATAATGGGGGATATGTGAAGAGGCCAGGCTCATCATGAACCGACTCTGGGTTTCATAACATCATGATCTCTCAGCAGCCCAAAAGCACTAAAAGAAAACTGTGGCTAAAGCCTACATGTCAGAAAGTGAGAAACCTCATCAAACAGCAATCCCTGTAGGTGACATTTAAATTAAAGGGCAAAATTGTTCCTGTACGGCAGAAAAGATAAATGTTTTAAGTACTTTGAGTATAATGTCTAAAGCAAATTGTTCAACATTCAAGAAAATGCCACTGCACATCAATTAGATGTCACTAAGTTGTAGAAACTTGTAGAGAGGAGAATGACCACTCTGTAATGTCTTGCAGGTTTCTCAAACCCTAGGGGGCACTCTCGAGCAAGTTCAAATGAATGGGTTGAGAGGGAGCAAAATCGTAGTTTATAAATGCTTAAACATTTTTAATAGAAATGTTATAATGTTAATAGAATGTTCATTTTCTGAACACAGAACAGCATAGAACATTGTAACACTGCTGTAATATTTTTAAGAACCTTTGAACTTACATAAGTTATAACAAGTTATGGAATTTTAAAAGTGCTTCATTTACGTTCATTACGCCAGTGAGCGCAAACAGCCAATGAGCTGCTTTGCTCGCCGACCAGTCAGCACTCGCTAGTGTCCTGCTGCCCAAATCCCATATACAGGTAAGATTTCTTTGCTTTTCAATGAAATACATCCTTCTACTTTCTAAACTTCAGGGTTCAGGGTGAGTGATTAGAAACTACTTTAAAGTTTCATTTTTAGCTGGTTAGCTCCATTCAGCTCCATTTATGAAGGAATCGCTCACGGGCAGCCTCTGGCATTCTGCAGTCATGTTTTTGATACAATGGGGGCACAGGAAGAGGCAAGGCACCTCATAAATCGGCTCTGGTGTTACCCTCAGAAAAACTGGAAGCTCAAGAGCAGCACTAAGAAGAAAGCAGAAGTGTTAGTGCAAGGAGTCCATTTAAGGAAAGCTTGGCCACTTCCTGTTTCTCCCATTATGTCAAAAACATCACCACAAAACCCCAACAGGGTGAGCGAGTCAAAAATAAATGGGATTGAAAAAAATGGAAAAAAAAAATGAAAAGTTAAAACAGTTTCTAATCACTTGTCCAGAACCTTCACTTAATTTTGGAAAGTAGAACGATGTTTTCCTCTAAGAAAGCAAGGAAAACTTGCCTGTATATTTTCTTTTTCTACAGCAAACAGGTTTTGGGCAGTAGCGTGCTAGCATTACTGCTACTGAGTGCTGATTGGTTAGCATTACTGCTTGCTACTAATTGGTTGGTGAGCGGAGCAGCTCGTTGGCTGAATGAAGCAGTTTGCTGACATGAGGTGCTATTATAAAGTCTTTTCAATGTAAGTTCAAAAGCGCTTCAAAAAATATAAGCCGTGTTAAAATGTTTTGTGCTGTTCTGCTTAGGAAAATGAATGTATTGTTGCATATAAAAATGTTTAGGCATTTACAAACAATGATTTTACTCAAATAATTCATATTAACCAACAGAAGAGAGCAACACATCCGGGTACTTTGGCCTTGTGAAATGTCCACACCCCTTTTTGGGTGAAAGCAGCCCCTCTAATCTGACTGTAAATACAAATTCTGAGGTCTTGGAAAATTTAATAGCATAAAATAGGAATACCCTACTGATTTACAGCTATTAGGAGCCCAAATCCTATGGCCAGTCAGGCAAACAAATCATGCTGTTGCTGTTGAAAAATGAAAGAAATAGGGGTTGATCAGTGTCCTTTAAGTCTGCCTCCATCAAAGTGGATGACCGACCCTACCCAGTGGACAAAGGTGTCATATTTACAATTCAATTCCCTACAGTTTTATTATCATGGCATTAATGCAGCATTTAGACACACTTTGAATTTGGATTATTATAATGATAATCATGACATAAAAATCACTTCAGGGAACAGGCAGGTGAATCTGTTTTACTTGGTTTCAACAAACCCAGCTAGAGAAGCCAGCTAGCAGTTAGCTAACATAGCCCCTTTTTTCTCTTTCATCCAAAAGGTGGTGTGGTCGTTTGGACGACAGGAAGGTGACATGTGTCTGCACTCATCTACTGATTTTGGACTAGCTTGAGAGTGCCCTCTAGCATTTGAGAAAACTAGAAGACATTGCTGAGTGGCATTTCTGCTCTCTACATATTCTCTACCAATCTATCTGTTCAGCTTACAGCAGTTTAGCTCGCTGCTCACCTAGTTCACATTATCCAGTACCGATTTGCACACTCACAGTCCTGCAGGCCACAATCGCTCAAAGGGGTGCTCACTACCATCCCCTATGTGCCCTTTTACTGTGGCCTTTGGCAGAACCGCAATAATGTAGACTTAACATCGTTCTATTTCCCAAATTTCTTTGAGATACAGGCAACAACCAAACAGAGATGAAGGTTCTGTTTACAGTTGTCTGAACGACATGGCAACCAACCAACCAACCATCATGTAAACCACTTATCCTTCTGGGTCGCGGTGGGGTGCTGGAGCCTATCCCAGCTGTCATTGGGCGGAAGGCAGGATACACCCTGGACAGGTCGCCAGTCCATCGCAGGGCAGACAGACAGACATACACATTCACACACTCACTCACACCTAGGGGCAATTCAGCATGTCCAATTGGCCTGACTGCATGTTTTTGGACTGTGGGAGGAAACCAGAGTACCCGGAGGAAACCCCCACAGACACAGGGAGAACATGCAAACTCCACACAGAAATGACGACATGGCAGATGTGAGTAAAAATTAATTAATGTATTAATTTAATCTGCATGCTTGTTATCTTGTTTAAGCCACTGTAGTTACACAAATTATCTATATAAAAAAACACAAGCCTGCATGTCACAGGAGTCGGTCTCAAATGCATGCAATTGAACGAAACCCCCTTAAAGTTTACAGGCCGTATAGGTCTGTATGTTGCTGATGTCACCAAAGTGTGGACTTTGATGAGGGCTGCGGGGCATACGGCCCTGGGTCCCATTTGGGACTGAGCTACTGAGTTTATAAGCATTCACCCTGGGCTGCTTCTGAAATGAAGGACAAAAGGCAGCCGGTCAGAACAGAGGTTACTGATATACATCAGCCTTAAAGCTACAGCAACAAAAGCAGCCTGTTTATTAGTAAGGAATAAGGATATTGGAGCGTGTTTAAGAAATTATTTTGA